TATTAATTTTGTTATTGTTCTTCTTTTTATTATTAAAATCATTATCATTATTATTATTATTATTATTATTACAAGACACAGACCCGTTCTACGAACGGTGATAAAGGTCTTCCTCCAGATTCAGATTATAAGAACGTAAATTCTGTTTGATTGTCGCCTTTCTCCTTTTCGTCTCGCTTTCTCCTCTGTCTTGAGGAGTTAAACAAACTGTTCGTTCAGGGGTGGGGGTGGGGGTGGGGTGGGGGGGGGGGGCATCTTACTACATTAATAACTAGTATTCCGTGGGCATCTTTACTCCAAACAGATCTCGATCTAGATTGACATCTTCATGCTAACTACCCCAAATCAGTCTTGAATTCTGTGCTCCAAATACATCTAGGATATAGAGATCTAGATCTAGAGCCTTGCTCTATAAAAAGCTACACAGAAAATTTGCTCTAAATTTTGAAAACGTAAATACAACGATGTGAATATTTTGTGGGTTTAAAACAAACTCAACACGTTGGAGACATCACTAGATCTACACCAAATATATCTAAAAAAGTCCATACAATGAAGTTTGACCTGAAATACCCATCGACACTGCGAAGCATACATCCAAACAGAGTTTTGGCGCTCATATGACCTTATGCAATTGCGAGTGCCGTAAAATGTCTACTAAAACTATAAAAAAAAACCAGAGTTAGTTATCTAGACTTAGATATCGAGATTCTAGATCTGGAAACAGTAGAAGCAGCTTTGTACACACGAAGTAAAACTCTGTGGCACACACACGACAAAGCACAAATCGCACTTCTGTTCTTGCTAACTACTCCAAAACATTCTTGAATTCTGTGCTCCAAATACATCTAGGATAGCCCATAAAGAGATCTACATCTAGAGTCTTGCTCTGTGAAAAAAAATAAACTAAGCACCAAATATATGCGCCAAATTTTGAAAACGTCAATACAACGAAGTAAACATTTTGTGGGTTTAAACGAACTCAACGTGTTGGGGACATGACTACACCAAGTATGTAGAAAAAGTCAATAATACAATGAAGTTTGACCTGAAGTATCCATCGACACTGAGAAGCTCACATCCAGAGTTAGCGAGACTCTAGATCTGGAAATAGTAGAAGTAGCTGTCTCATACCCACGACGAAGCACAACATGAAACGGAAGTAGAATGGCTAATGGCAGAGTGAAAACATCTGAGAGCTTCGATTTACAGGAAAAAACCATCAAACCTGAAAAATCAAAATATAGTTTCCGAACTTTGAAAATATGCCCTCGTAACCCTTTGTGATAAATCTTAACTGACTCATATTTTCGTAGATTTTATGGGCGCACCTGTGTAAAAAATGTATACTGACCCTTCACAAAGGGGCTGAGCTTCATTATAATAAGATTATTATTATTATCATTATCATTATTATTTTTCTTCTTATTATTATTATTTAAACTATTATTGCTACTATCATCATCATCATTTGGCCTATATCATTATTATTAGTAGTATTATTAGTACTACTATTATTATCATTGTTGTTGTTGTTGCTGTTGTTGTAGTTGTTGATGTCGTCATTATCATCCTGGCTCACCTTGTACAGGTGTACGTAATCTTCCTTGGCCGGCCAGGTGGGAAACAGGTGGTACTCCAACATAAACTGGCGCACGTACTGAAACATGTCCGTCTCCATCATGTTCTCCATCACCGCCCACTCGTGGCCTTCCACGTCGATCTTCAGCACGTCAATCACTCTCTGAAACATAGATACGTATACATATGTATATAGATACGTATACATAGTATATATATATATTGTCAAGGACAAAAGTGGCCGTATAAGACAGGTGGCCGTCTTAGGCAGGACTGATCAAGATAAAGAAAACAAACCATTCCCATCTGAGGCCCCAATCGAAAGTAGCCCCATTATGTTGTCTTTGTTGGTGTTATTGTTGTTAGTTTGTATTTCGTTTGTAATTTTTATTTTGTCGCTGATTTTGCACAAGGGAGACAATAAAACGAAATGTATCAGACAAGGAAGACTGAGTGCCATGTTAAAACAAACGCATGGGTCAGAGAACGAGCGACGCTTTTGTAACAAGTTCATGTTGACGTCCTTTGTTACTTTGTTACAAGCTGGGTAAACAGTGACCACTCATCTCACTTACGATTTGTGTATGAGTTCTGGGCGGGGCTTATGGGTTATGAGGGATCACACGCCTATGCAACATGATCGGTTGGAGGGACTACCTAACAACAACGACAGGTGATTGAATTATGACGGCTCGCCCACAACGCCGGGGGTCAATGCACAATTTATAACAAAACGTAATGGAGTCACTAAGGTGACCGTCTTAGACAGGTATTATTGCTTAGTACGATAGGGGTTGTGTGTTAAATTATGGTGGCAGCGGCCGCGTTGGACAGGTGCCCGTTCTACACAGTTAAATTATATAGAAAAAACGCAAGGGGGGAAATGGAAAGTGGCCGTTTGTACAGGTGGCCGTCTTATAGAGGTGGCCGTCAGGGCAGGTTCGACTGTATATATATAATATATAGTGTGTCACGACGCGGTGGATTCAGACGCTCTTCAACCACTCTCTGAAACACACATAGATACATACTCATATATATATATATATATATACACACATATATATAGAGATATATACTCATATAGGCCTATATATATGTGACCTTCAGCACGTCAATCACTCTCTGAAAAACATAGATATGTATACATTATATATATATATATATATATATAATAATATATATGTGTCACGACGCGATGGATTCAGAGCATTCAGAGCACATCAATCCCTCTCTGAAACACACATAGATACACACACACACACACACAAATATATATATGTATATAGAACACATATGTGTCACAACGCGGAGGAATCAGACGCTCGTCAATCACTCTCTGAAACGCATAGCTACAAAATATAAACACACACACACACGTATATATTTTTAAACATATATATAATATATATATATATACATATACATATATATATAGGTGTATGTCATAACAAACGCAGTGGAATCAGGCTCTCCTCAATCACTCTCTGAAACAGGACATAGATACATAATACATACACATACACATATATTTTTTTTAACATATATATATTATATACATATACTATATACATATATATATATACATATGTGTGTGTGTGTGTGTGACAACAAACGCAGTGGAATCAGGCTCTCGTCAATCCCTCTCTGAAACAGGACATAGATATGTATACATACACGTATGTGTCACGACGCGGTGGAATCAGGTGCTTGTTAATTTTTGGTACCATCTTAAAGCTTGTTCATTTGTCTTGCTTTCGGTGAAAAGAATTAACATCTATCATGAATAGAATTGGAGATAGCCTATTTGTGATAGAGAAAGGTGGGGATCACCTGGTTTTCAGATGTAAAAATTTGTGACAAAATGGCCAAAAATGTTTGTCAACTTCCAAGCTTGAGAGTTCTTAGAAACTGCAAATTTACATTTTTGTGCCATAAGTCAACATTTTTCAGTAAAATCAACAGAGAAAATGTATTTTTAAATGAACCTTAATTAAAAGCGTTGAGTCAAAAAACAAAAAATTCGATAAATATTGCCAAAAGGGCAGAAAAATGCCAGTGTCTTCGAATTCATTATTTGGACGAGTGCCTGATTTCACCCCGATGCTTCACATATATTTGTTTTTTATTTTTGTAAAAGTTTTATGCACTTTCTCCAAATTACAAATATATACATATTAATTTTTGAAGAAAAAAAATGTCCCCAGAAATTTTATGGCACTTTTTCTGGAGCACAAATAGATACACATGTCTTTGTTCTTATTGTTTCAGTTAAAGTTTTAAGGTACTTGCGACACAAAATAGGTTATATAAATATTAAAGATTAGAGCAACAGCAACAAAAACTCCACTACCACCACCAACAACAACACCACCACCAACAACAACACCACCACCACCAACAACAGCAACAACAACTCACCAGCTCATGTTTCAACATCTGCACCATAGACTTGAGTGTCCTAATTTTCCACACCACTACCAACAACACCACCACCAACAACAACACCACCACCACCACTACCACCACCACCACAAACAACAACTAACCTGTTCATGTTTCAACATCTGCACCACCGACTTGAGTGTCCTCATCCTCCACTTCTGGTTATCCTGCACGTACATATCCCTGCGAGGGTTGAATGCGTCCGAGTTACTGCTGCCCAGACCCATGTTGTGGAAGGTTACGTTGTCGTTCCTTTTGTGGTCGGAGGTGTTCATGCTGGGGGGAGGAATGGTGGATTGGTTAGGGAGGGGAGGGAGGAGAGAGAGAGAGAGAGAGAGAGAGAG